GCAATGCTTATTATGTCATGCCATTTTAAATATTTGTTTCATTCAAGAAGTCATAGAATTCCTATCAGTAGGCTCATCATGCTCAAGGAAAATTTATGAATAGTATATCTAAGACAAAATAGTATTTAAGCTATATTTGTGATTGTTTAAGAAAATTATTTTTTCATTTTTTTGTGAACGGAACAATGATCTTTGGGCTCCAACTTAATGAGCTTACATGGCTTCTATTACAGCTTTAGAAATTTGTACCTGAATGCATTTATATATATATTTTTTTCATGAAGTGATAATATTTTATTTCTAGGGGGGATAAATGCCTTTATAGAACTATGATGTATGTTATGGTGTTATGGTTGCATGTTAATACCTCAACACTAATCTCTTAAGTAGTTCGTAAACAGAATAGATCATTGATGGGATACTATATGAGGTATCCAGTGCTGCTTTAACAGAAACATCACAATTGGCTGGCTTTAACAAATAGAAAGTTATTTCTCAGTTCAGGAGATTAGAATCCAAATTCATGGTGCTACTCCAGGAGAAGCTCACTCTGTGTGCCTCTCTCATTCTGCTTTAGGGAAGGTTCTAAGATTCCTGGGAGATTGTTGTGGCTTGTATCATCCCAAATTGCTTCTATTAAATATCAAAAGAGATTGATTTAAGACACACCCTACCTACACTAATACTGACTTACAGATGAAAGAAAATTCCAAAGGGAATTGTAACTACAAGCATAGTAGGATTTAAAACACATATTTGTAATGCAATTCACAACAGATAGCCTACTTGGAAAACCAGTAAATCATAATTTTCCAAATATTTTAAAATAATTACATTAGGATTCATTTGGAAGTCTTTCTTTCTTTTTTTTTGCATTTTTTTGTTAATAAGATATTTTCTGGAATAATATGTGTTTTCAGACAGTTTGCCCTCCTTCCAATGTGGTAATCCTTACAATTGAGAACATAACATCAGCATTATAGAAATTTAGAGGAACCTAGATGGTGCTGTTAGGTAAGCTTTGACTACTAACCACAGGGTCAGCAGTTTAAATCCACCAGCCTCCTCGAGGGAGAAAAATGAGGCTATTTGGTTCCACTGAGTTACAGCCTCAGAAATCCTGTGGAGGGTTGCATTGTGTCAGAATCAAATCAGTGAGAGTGACTTTTAGGGAAATTCAAAGATTCTGACCTCATGCAAACTTAGTTAAATGACTCTGGTTATATTCACTTTTCAAATCAGCAACTATATTTATTAAGATAATGTATCATTATTTAATAGTAAGTCGAGGCAAGGTTCCTTCACTTTAGAAACTGTCTTGAGCAGATTACATTATAGTATGTAGTATATGCATTGTTCCTTGTACACTCATATGGATGGGGGTCACAGTACAGAGTATAAAGCCTCTCAATTTCTGCACTGGCAGATACATAGAAAATGAGATTTAGAATCAAGAGTTGTTTTTTTAATTAACCATTTTATTGGGGGCTCTTATAACTCTTCTAACAATCTATACATCAAATGTATCAAGCACATCTCTACATATATTGCCATCATCATTTTCATGATATTTTCTTTGTACTTGAGCCCTTGGTATCAACTCCTTTTAAAAAAAATCATTTTATTGGGCACTCGTACAATTCTTATCACAATCCATACATATATCCCTTGTGTCAAGCACATTTGTACATTTGTTGCCATCATTATTCACAAAACAGTTGCTTTCTGCTTGAGCCCTTGGTATCAGCTTCTCATTTTTCCCCTCCCTCCCCATTCCCCCCTCCCTCATGAACCCTTGATAATTTATAAATGATTATTATTTTGTCATGTCTTACACTGTCTGATGTCTCCCTTCACCCACTTTAGAGCCAGAGTTTTGAATAAACTGTATCTGAATTCTTACAGAGTTTGAAACAGCTGAGACACTTCTCAATTCAGAAGTCCATATGCTTCTCGAGCATCGAAAGCAGCAGAATGAGAGTGCAGAAGACGAACAGGAGCTCTCAGAAGTCTTCATGAAAACGTTAAACTACACAGCCCGCTTCAGTCGTTTCAAAAACAGAGAAACCATTGCCAGTGTCCGCAGGTGAGTGCTAAAAGAAGTTTACTAATCTGAAGTATTCAGTATTTGCATGTAGGATGCTGTCCTCATCCCCACTTCATTTTTTTTTTCTTTTAACATTTTATTAGGGGCTCATACAACTGTTACCGCAATCCATACACACATCAATTGTGTAAAGCGCATTTGTATATCATTCTCAAAACATTTTCTCTCCACTTAAACCCCCGGCATTAGGTCCTCATTTCATTTTTAAGTTTACTGTAACAAAAACAGTGTTTCTGTCACTGTAACAAACAGTGGCCTTGTCCGAAATTTAAAAATTATTCTTTCCTTTGACATCTTTTTGTATATTCTAAATGCTACTTGTTACTTGTGTAACTTCTCTTAGCACTTTGGCGAATTTAACTGTCAAATCTTTCCCCATAATATTCATGCACACTCAACACACACACGAAGATGAATGTACTTCATAAAACTCTGGGGCTGGGAGGCCCGGAGTGGGGGGTGTCCTAGAAGCTTCCAGGAAGATGTCTGTCTAGGAAGACATGCTGTGCAGATCTTTTACAACAAAGACACCAGAGACCAATGAAACAGATATGCGGGTGAAAGGGGGGAGGGTCCTTGAAAAAAAAACACACCAGATATTGATGAGAGTCCTGGAATCCCGAGCTTCAGAGGAAATGATATAGAAGTGGGTAGAATACTGACTAGCAGTAAAAGCTGAACAAAAACCACAGGAAAGGAGACAGATGAATAAATCATGTCAGGTGGCTGCATAGTGGTCATTTTGAATTTTTGGGAGCAGCATTCCATTGAGACAGCAGGCTGGCACACTGGTGGCTAGAGAAAGGTGGGATCTTCTATTGTTCCCCGCTCCTGGTGACTAAAATCATGGCCAAGTCATACTCTACACCTACCTAGCAGCCTGTGGCAACCTCCACACCCTGCACCGACTCCACCTCAGTCCCCACTTTGGAGTCCTCATTCAGCTCTAGTTATATCACCCTCGATTTCGAAAGCACGTGATCTCCCCTTTTCAGACCAGTAGAGTATGCATTTATGCTTCCTTGGCCACCTTGGGAAGAATTCTTTTCATGACCAGCCATCCTGCTCAGTTGCTTTCAGCCTCAATTTCTTCTGGAAAAAGCACCCTGATCTTAGCTTCCTGAGTCAGAACAAACTACTTATAGATCTTAGATAAAGGTAGACTAGACTAGTCCATATAAGACTGGGCATCCCACTCTTTCCTTCTACCCTCTACCCTTCCACCCTCTCAGCTCCTTGGCTGACAACTCACTGCTGTTGAGTCAATTCTGACTCATAGTGACCCTACAGAACGGGGTATAACTGCGACAATTCAATAGTTCATCACCACAATCAGTTTTAGAACATTTTCTTCATTCTTGTACTCATCATTATTAGCCCCTCCTGTCTCTCAAACCTCCTTTGCCAAGGAACCATTAATCCAATTATTGTCTTGAAAACTCACAGGGGCAGTTCTACCCTTTTTCTATAGGGTCGCTATGAGTTAGTATTCACTCAGTGGCAGAGTTTTGTTGTTGTTGTCATATATTGGTTAAATGATTTCTTTTTAATGACAGTGCTAAGTCTATTTAGTGATTATTTTTAATAAGTAGCACAAAGACTTTATTTCCATATGCAAAAAGTGAACTTAACCATATTCAAAAGTTGAGTCAAAATGTAAGAACTAAAAGTATAAAAGTCTTAAAAGAAAACATAGGGGTGGAGGGTGGAAAGGAGCTGAAACCAAGGGCTCAATAGAAAATAAATGTCTAGAAAATAATGATGGCAACATATGTACAAATGTGCTTGATACAATTGATGTGTGGATTGTTGCAAGAGCTGTAAGAGCCCTCAATAAAATGTTTTAAAAAAAGAAAGAAGAAAACACAGGGTTAATGTTTTTTGTTTTTTAATAGGGTTTGAGGCTTAGTTCTTGATGATGGATTTTTAAATGTGACACCAAAAGAATTAGCAATGTAAAAGATTGGCTGTTGAATAAGACTTCATCAAAAATTTAAACTTTTAAAGCAGATGTTTTGAGAATGATGAGGGCAACAAATGTAAAAATGTGCTTGACATACAATGGATGTATGCATGGATTATGATAAGAGTTGTATGAGCCCCCAATAAAATGATTTAAAAAAAAATTTAAACTTTTTTCTCAGAATCACTTTTGAAATTTGAAAATGTCTAAGTTTCATAAAGGTTCTTGATAGTGCTTGCATTTTATATGGAAAAAAACAGTTCTTGAGGAAAATTGCAGAATCTTTTAAATTCACTTTCTAACAAAGTTTTGAAGCCTCTGGTACATGGGTTTGGATTTATGGCAGGTCCGATCCCATGGGCCTCTCACAGTGCCCCATGCCAAAGCAAACTGTAACCCCGAACCATTGCCTGGCTTTACCCCGTGGGCTTCAGGCACTGAAGCGGGTTGCACAGTGAAGAAAAAAAGAAAAAAAAAAGTTTTGAAGCCTCTGTATAAGTTATATATATACTAGGATAAATTTGGGGTTTAAAAACATGGTTATTCATATTAATGGTCTGATTTTTTATATGTTAGTGCATATCAATATGGCTTTTGAGGAAGATTATTTCTGGGTTTTCTTTTACTTTTCAGATAGTTAACTGATTTTCAGGACTGCTTCCTTTTGGTTTGCATCTCTGTGGGAAACGAGGATGTGCTATGGCATGTAGGCCACAAAGAGCAAAGCTTTCTCCTAAAGCATCCATTTCACTCAGTGATGGGTAATTAGAAGCATTTTAGCATTAAAGCTCATATTTCAGCAGAAGACAAAAGTGCATACATTTTAAAATTTAATCATGCAACAACAAAAATAGAAATTTAATCATGAATCCTAAAGCCTAGATGTTCTACTTTCTGAAGCTTATGGAGGTTGGATGAACCTCTGAAACTGTTGCCAAATATATTCTCTGAAGCCATCTTAAAGCCTAGCAGTAGTTTCCTTAATTAGTAAGAAAAATTAAAAATAATCCAAGATCCACCTTGAGTATTACTTTTTTTTTTTTTAGTATTACGTTTTAAAGAATTGTATTTATATGATCAAACTGATGACAGCAACTTGAAAGATATAGATTGGAATCTTATTGGGACAGGAAGTTAATGTTACTGAGGGAGAAATCACTCAGAATAGGAGGGTGAGAATGGTTGTACTTTTTTTTTTCTTTCTTTGTCAGCTGGGACTGAGGTTGTACATTTCAAAGATAGCGATTTATACAGAAATGTTTAAATTAGTGTATCAAGCAAAGAAAAATAAAAATATGAAACTTGAAGGTTTTTCCCCCACTAGTTTTATTGGCATGTAATTTACATATATAATTCAGTAATTCAGTTATTCATCATATCAAGGAGAATTGTACAATCACCACCACATCAATTTTAGATCATTCCCTTCCCACCTCCCCCAACCATGGTTAAATCGCTTATAAACTGAGTTTTGCAAAATTTGAAGTTTTTGAAAGCCATTTCAACCTATGCTTTTAGGACCCTGGAGTGGGACAAAGGTTTGTTTGTTCAACTCTCATGAAAATGCTGAGCTGTACTTTCCTAAGGAAAATGTAGATCGACTAAAAGACACAGATAAACTTTTAGAGAGCTTGTTAAGTAAAAAAATGTTGCTACAAAATCATAGAAACATTAAACAAAAAACATCAAAACATTCTGCTGCTGTTTCTTGACATCTCTTCCATCAAACGTTCTCTACTCTTAAAGGTGGTGTTTTTATGTCTCTAACTTTTCGCCAAAGAACCCTGTGCTCTTGGATTTACAACACATCCAACTGCCGGTTTTGGCCTCCTTGGATGGCTCATATTATGTTCCCTTTTCGTGTGTTTGAATTCTGGGAACACCAAGAAGGAAGTCTGAAGCGGTAAGATGGGCAGTCAGTAGGATTCTCCAATGAAGTTCTCAGAGGACTTCAGAACTGTGCGCACCCGTGTTGGTTCCGATGCACCGTGACCTTGCAGGACATGGTAGAACTGCTCTGCAGGTTTCCAGAACCAGAACTTTTATTGTGTGCAAATAAGCAGGTTTTATTTGATAGGAATATGAGATAACAATGTTAAAAGTGAGCTTTTGGAACACTGTCCTAGGCTTGCGTGGTTTAAACAAAAATAATTTTATTGGGGGTTGTTACAGATATTGTGACAATGTATAAATCTGTTATATCAAGCGAACTTGTACATATATTAACATCATTTTCAAAACATTTTCTTTCTACTTGATCCTTTTCATATCAGCTTTTTATTCCCCCCCACCCTCATGAGCATTAATAAATTATATATTGGTATTTTTCAGTCATTTTATTGGGGGCACTTTATAGCTCATAATATTCCATACATCAGTTGTATCAAGCATATTTGTACATATGTTGCCATCATAATTTTCAAAGCGTTTTCTACTTGAACCCTTGGTATGAGTTCTTCTTTTTCCCCTTCCCTCCCCAATTCTCCCACCCTGGTGAATCCTTGATCAATTACATATTGTTATTATTTTCTTATACCTTACACTGCCCGATATATTCTTTACCCCCCGAAACCCTAACTCTGTGCAGGAGGAGTGAAAAGCCTGTTTCCCCACAGAGTGGGCGATGGTTTCCCGTTGCAGACCTTGCAGTTAGCAGCTTAGTGCACAACCCACTATGCCACCAGGGCAGACTCTCTCTCTCTCTCTCTCTCTCTCCCAGGGTGGACTCTCTCTCTGTCTCTGTCTCTGTCTCTCTCTGTCTCTGTCTCTCACTCTCACACACACACTCTAAACACTTACATTTCTGAATATATATTTAGAAACATTTGCTTTCTAATTTTTTATTCCTTAATACAGGGACTTTCGTGTCATAAATACTAAGACGCTGACATAGGAAGAGTTTTTGACTAATATGTGTTGAATTAATTTTTAAATTAACATATCCTCTTTGTAAACATGATAAAGAATCCAAACAGTTGAAAAAAACATCTGAAATTGTACTCGTCAGAAATAGTATTAAATGGTTCCCTCCCTCTGTACTTACAAGTTATAAGTGTATGTAAACACATTTTGTTTGGAATGCCTTACTAAATGTTTGAAATGGTATACTAAAATGATTGGAATAGTATACTAAAATGTTAGCCTTGATTATGTCTAGGCAGAGACACAGGTAAGATTTATTTTTTTCTTGTATTTTATAGAGTTAGAACATTAACTAATGTGCTTGTAATACAGTTATTAGCCCAGTAAATACTTGTTTCATAATGGATAACGGGTTATTACTAAATGTCCTCTCTGAAACCAAATTCCTCATTGTCTCACCTCACTGCCATCAAGTTAATTCTGACTCCTAGTAATCCTAGGGCAGAGTAGAGCTGTCTTTGTGGGTTTCTGAGACTGTAAATCTTCATGGGAGTAAAAACCTCATCTTCTTCCACAGGAGGTGGGTGGTTTTGAATTACTGACCTTGCTGTTAACCCAATGTGTTACCCACTATACCAGAAAGGCTCCTCAAATACATCATAGATGAGCTTTAGTTTAAGATTGTGGTGTTAGATGCTGCCTATCTAGATGCATGAAAACCAAAGATACAATTCATATTTGTAATATTATTTTAAGTTGTTTGCAGTTATTACATTTAAGATGCACAGTACACATTTGCATAAAGTAAGGTATTTAATTTCAGATAAATTTTAAAAGAAATTTTATTTACATCAAAGTTAGTAAGACAGTGGTAAACAAGCGGCCATCTAGCTCAGAAGCAACAGGGCCCACATAGAAGAAGCACACCAGCCTGTGTGATCACGAGGTGTCGAAGGGATCAGGTATCAGGCATCATCAGAACAAAAAAATCTTACTATAGTGAATGAGGGGGTGGAATGGAGACCCAAAGCCCATTTGTAGGCCACTGGATATCCCCTTACAGAAGGGTCTCGGGGAGGAGACAAGCCAGTCAGAGCAATGATGAAAAATACAACTTTCCTCTAGTTCCTTAATGCTTCCTCCCCGCCACTATCATGATCCCAGTTCTACCTTGCAAGTCTGGCTAGACCAGAGGATGTACACTGGTACAGATAGGAACTGGAAACACAGGGAATCCAGGGGGGATGATCCCTTCAGGACCAGTGGTGTGAGTGGCGATACGGGGGGGTTAGAGGGAGCGTGGGTTGGAAATAGGGAACCGATTACAAGGATCTGCATATGACCTCCTCCCTGGGGGACGGACAACAGAGAGGTGGGTGAAGGGAGATGTCAGACAGGGCAAGATATGACATAATAATAGTTTATAAATTATCAAGGGTTCATGAGGGAGAGGGGACCGGGGAGCGAGGGGAAAAATGAGGAGCTGATGCCAGGGGCTTAAGTAGAGAGCAAATGTTTTTAGAATGATGAGGGCAGTGAATGTACAAATGTGCTTTACACAATTGATGTATGTATGGATTGTGATGAGAGTTGTATGAGCCCCTAATAAAATGATTAAAAAAACCCCCAAAGTTAATAAGACAGTAAGCAAGGAAGAGCAGCGAGCAACAAAATCAAATCCTTGGCCAAAGGATTATATATTGTTTCTGAGATTTTTAGTGGTTTCTCACAGGTTATAATAGCAAGAGTGATCAGCCCTGAAGAGCCGCCTTCAGTTTCATAGTCTTTATCTGACTTCACTCAAATTTCTGTTCTTCTGGAGTAGAAACAGCAAGTAATTTGAAAACGGCATTTTGCAGTCATACTCAAATTGGAACTAATGTAGCATTTACAGAAAAATACTTTGTATTTTTGGGGGGGTGAGAGGGTTGGTAGAATAGTCCCCATTTTCATTGATCATTCTTTGATTTGATTTGTTTTGATTATTTTCCTTATGATCAGCTTGTTGCTCCAGAAAAAGCTTCATAAGTTTGAATTGGCGTGTTTGGCTAATCTGTGTCCAGAGACTGCTGAGGAGTCCAAGGCCCTGATACCAAGGTTAGTAGTGGATATGGTAAGTTCTGTGTGTCTGAGATCCATTCTTGTAAATACATTTACTCATTCTCACCGGCTTCTGTCTTTAAAATTTAGATATTGTCAATATTGAATGAGAATATATTTTTGACAATGTATGAGAATGGTAATTTTATACCACAAGGGTTAGCAAAACTGTGAAATGGCTGGAACCATTATACACTAATGGTTAGAGTATCATTTGGTGCCATTACTTTGAAAACAATTTGGCAAAGCTTATTAAAGATGAAAATACTCCATGACCCCAAAATTCTTTCCTATTTCATGTTGATTTACAAGAAGACATGTTCTAATGTTCTTTGCAACATTGTTAGTGATAGCATACATCTATCATTGAACAAAAAACCAGGTAAATATGATATAGTATATTCATACACTATACATTACATAGAAGAAACCTTGGTGGCGTAATGGTTATGCTTCAGGCTGTTAACCCCAAGATCAGGTGTTTGAAACCATCAGCTGCTCTCTGGGAGAAAGATGAGGCTTTTTACTCCAATGAACAGTTACAGTCTGGGAAATATGCAGGAGCAGCCCCTGTCCTCAAGGGGCACTGAGAGTTGGAATCAGTTTGATGACAGTGAGATGTATTACACCGCAGTGCAAAAAGTAGTGCACTTGAGTAACAAGAACAAATGTCAAAAGAATTTGCAAAAAAAATTACAAGTCGATATATACAAAATCACACTATTTCTTAGAAAGTTTTAAATCACTATTGCATGTTGCTTAAAACTATACTACTTTAAGAAGAAGAAAAAATAACCATACTAAGTCAATTCCAAATCATTTAGTACTAACAAATGCCAATTGTAGAATAGTTATTTCTGAGAATGGAAGAGAAATAATGGGTTGGGGAGCATAACCAGGCCTATCAATTGTTATAAAGTTTTATTTTGAAAACAGTAGTTAAAGTAGTACATGCTATTTTTCAAATGGAAAAGTAGATAGGATAGGAAAAAAACTATAGTTGAATGGTAGGGATGTCAATTTTTAAGCAGTACATGGTGCTCAAAAGCAAGCATGTAAGCAGGCGTATAGGAGGATTGTCATTTGCTAAATCACACACTTCTTTGGCTTTCTTCTTGTAGCTTGGAAGGGCGGTTTGAAGATGAAGAGCTGCAGCAGATTCTTGATGATATCCAGACAAAGCGTAGTTTTCAGTATTAATCTCTGAACATGCTAGGTGGCACCACAAGCCCAGGATCTGGGCTGACCTCAGAAATTCTACTTCAGCGAACAATTGGACTTCCTTTGGGCAGAACACCACAGCGTGGTTTTGGTGTAGGTTGCTGTTTCAAACTTGACGTTGACCACAGTCTTGGCTCTCAGAAAGGTGAGGTGGGTGATTTGCATATAAAGTCAGCTATTGACTATCTCAACCCAAGGTGCTTGGCTCCTTCATTATTTTTTCTTTCTTAATAATTCATATTTTAACTTATATGTACTTAAGAGTTTTAGAAAACACCCTAGAACATGCGAAGCAGCTCACCATGGAAAACAGTTACAACTAAAGCTAACTGAACTGCGTGTATGGGGCCGTAGCCTTCAGGTAGACAGGTAGCTTTTCCTTTTTCTTGGGCTGTCTTCACACAATGTGGATTTGGAGTACATGTATATCAAAAACTTGCTTTTTAATAAACAATGAAATCTGTATGTATGGTGCATCCATTCCAAACCTCTAGGCTTATTAACTACTGTGTTAGTCTGGGTAGACTAGAGAAACAAATCCATGGACACACATGTGTATAAGAAAGAGATTTATATACAAGAGCAATTGAACATTGAGGAAACATCCCAGCCTAGCCAGATCAAGTCCATAAGTCCGATATTAGCCCATATGTGTCCTATACCAATCTGTAAAGTCCTCTTCAGACTCACGAAACACATGCAACGACATAGGCCAGTAGGTAGAAAGTCTTTGGATCCAGGGTAATTGGAAACATCTCGGCGCTGGCAGGGGTCTCTGCATCAGGGTGGGTCCATGTGTCTTTGCTGCTATGTCTTCCAGGGTGTGAGCAGAGCCTCCCACCTCCAAGGAGGAAGTGCCGGATTTCCCAGAATTCTCAGGAAATGCCCACACAGAGGCCTCATTGGCTATGATCTGATAGACAAGCTAGACTCCACCCCTACACTTGTAACCCTCAAATTGACAAATGATTATATATCTACCACAACTACCAACATGGCTTAGAAGGGGAGCGACTACCTGTTGAACCATTGCATTGAAGACAATTTATTCTAAGTTAGGAATTAGAGATCTAGTTAGGAGAAACCCTTTTTAAGCTATACTTTCCACCTTTGTTTTCTCAGAAGGGAGATGTTTATGTTCTCTTCACAGTTTGGGTTTTTCATCAGGAGCACCTGCCCTAGTCATGATCCAAGGAAAAAACGGGGGCAGGAACAAAGTTAATTTTAAGTATGAATAGTTAGTTCTGTCAGCTGCTGACTAAGTAAAAAATAAAATACTATTATTTTCAAAAGCTCTGGCAGTTTCCAAAATATTGAACCAATTATAAAAAGTGCTATAGGGATTATGCAGATTTATGATAATATGTATAGGTTAAATTCCTGAGACCAAGGGTACATGTATTTAAAGTTTTGATGATGATGTGCCATTGAGTCAACCCATAGTGATCTTACCACAACAGAACAAAACACTGCCTGCTCCTGCGTCATCCTCAATTGTTCCTGTGCCTGTGGCAGCCACTGTGTCAATATGTTTGGTCAAGGGCCTCCCTCTTTTTTGCTGCCCCCCACTCCACTTTACCTAACATGATGGCCTTCTCCACGGAGTGATCTCTCCTGACAACATATCCAAAGTACAAAAGAAAGTCTTGGAATCCTTGCACCTAAGGAACGCTCTGGCCACTAGCCCCTGAAGCTTTATGCACTTCTGTTTATCTAAATTATGGGATGCTGCTTTGCCTGGACTTACTGGACCACCCCCCTTGGGCCTCTAAATGGGGACGCTTCTTGTATGGTTATTGTTTTTCAACAGTTTTATTGGCACATAATTTACATATATAATTGAGTCAATTGTTCAGTCATATCAAGGGGGATTGCACAATCACCACCACATCCATCTTAAAGCATTTCCCCCTACCCCCACGCCCCTTACTTATTTTAATGGCTCTGCTAGCTTCCTTCCTGAGTCAGGACTTGCCTACTGATTAAACTTAAAAGGAATTTTTACTGCAAAGGAGGAAGTTGTTGTATTTGTATTTTTAACCAACTATATCTTAATTTGTTATATTTCTAGTACTTTGATTAACAGCAGGGTCTTTCACCCTTTATCATATTCACATCTTTAACTTTTGACCATTTCATGTAGATGTTATTTTAAAAAGCTCATAACTCATACGTAATATTCTTTATTTTATGAGCCATTCTGCTATTTAGCTAAGAGTGACCTCAAGGAATAATTTTGGTTTTGTTTTAGGTTACAAAAGAGACCCCGAATCTCAAATGTAATTTAAGGAGAACATTTATTAAGTCTTAAAAGAGGACAAAGACAACACAAAGAAAAAGGCACATTACCTGGATGAGGGAAGGAATTAATTATCAGGTCACAACAGGTTCTGAAGGGTCTTAGCTGCTTAAATAAGGAATGGAACACAAAGGAAAATTGTCACAAAGTCATAATTGGTGGCAAATAGATCAGATGGGACTGCAGAAGCATAAATGGGACCATGATTGGGACTTGTACATCATGCTAGATGGGAGAATTTACAAGATTGGTACAGGGTCTAGGGCAGTTGTTCTCAACCTGTGGATCGAGACCCCTTTGGGGGTCAAATGATCCTTTCACAGGGGTCACATAAAACCATCAGCCTCTGTCTCAAGCTTCATCCGCCCACATGAAGATACACCCAGATAAGAGTGCCCAGCGTGAAGACTTACCCATGCTATACCATGCTTCAAGACAAAATTTCATTTATTTGTAATTAGAAATAAATATTTCACAATATATAATTTATTGCTTTTGTGATTAATCACTGTTCTTTAATTATGTTCAGTTTGTAACAATGAAAATATATCCTGCATATCAGATATTTACATTGTGATTCATAACTAGCAACATTATAAATTAGCAACAAAAATAGTTTTATGGTTGGGGTTCACTACAACATGAACTGTATGAAAGGGTCGCAGCATTAGGAAGGTTGAGAACCACTGTTCTAGGGCATGACTCTTGGCTATGCCACCATCACCTCCAGGAGGTGCTGTTTATCAAGGACACACTCAGGCAAGCCCCTGAGGGTGACTGTTCTAGGGTTGGTTGGAAGGGGAGTGGAGGTAATCCACTGTCTAATGCACTTTGCTTGAGGGCAAGACTATTCATATGCTTGGTCACTGGCTAGAAGGAATTCACTGGAGGCTTAATCTGCAAATGGATTTTGGGCTTTCACTAACTATACCCTTCTGAAAATGGTGCTCAGAATTTAAGCTCTAATACAGTTTAAGGTTTAAGGAGCTGCTCAACATAATATCTCAGGAAGCCATCTAACCTTAACCAGTCCAGTAAGTCTGAACTTTGACCCATAGAATTTTGACTGAAAAAAAAAATTTTTTTTTTCTTGACTGTAATGTTAATGGAAGCAGATAATCACATCTATTTCACAGAACCTCTGGATGGGTTCAAACTGCCAACCTTTCAGTACAAATAAAAAAATGGTGGAGCATAAGAGACAAGGCTTAATTGTCAGACTGGTGGATCCCCCTCCCCTCCTAAGACTATAGCCCTTAGTCACCCTTCAGGTCTGGAGCTGAATTCACCACAGTGTTACAATAGCTGCTTAAGATCAAAGAGCAGGATTTACCGAAGGACAAAGTTCTGAGGGATAGGGAAGAAGGAGGTATGGAAGTAGGAGGAGGTGGTTAAGTAATGATAAGTGTTGATACATTGAGGGGATTGCATGGATGAGTTGAAACAAAACATGAATTGTTGAATGTAGAACTATGATCTCTGAACCGTTTCCTAATGTGCAATACAAAAGTTTAAAAAAATTCTGACATTCCATCGTTTTATTTGAAGGAAACAATTTCTGTAATATCAGTGGTTGCATATAGTTGCATACATAGAAATAAGACAATGCTAGTAGACAGAACCAGGTAAGGGGGGAAAAGTGGACAATGGGAGCAATTTCTAGAACAAAATAGAGTATCCTCAGTAAACATATCAATGGAAGAGGCAGAGATAGTATATAAGTGTGGGCAAGTAAAGACAGGATGCTCACACTAACTCAACAATGGTGGAATTGAACCTTGATTTTGAGACCTGGTGATAAGGACACAGCATGAACTCAGGGTGAGATAGATAATTTTATGTCAACTTGAAGATACATAAACATGTAAGGCTTTCCGCCGGATCTGATCCCACCACACAGAGGCAAAACACTAAGGGCGTGGAGCAGAACAGCAAGGAGAACAGAGCAATGAAGTCCCCAGGGAATACCAAAAAAAGACATTGGGGCCAGGGCTTGGCACCTCAACAGACTCTACCGGGAAACACTCCTAAAGGCCAACAAACAGCCCTTGAACTCACTAAAAGCTTTTCTTTCTTGTGCTTTGTTTTTTTGTCATTGGCTCATTGTTTTTTGTTTTTTTAACATTTTATTAGGGGCTCATACAACTGTTATCCCAATCCATACACACATCAATTGTGTAAAGCGC